GTCTATTAAATCTTTGGCCTTGTCTGCCCAATACCAATACCAAAGAGAAAAAACAACAGCAAAAACAATTATATAAAAAAAACAAAAAAAACAAGAGACTCGTTCAGATTTTGCTCTGGTACCAATGACCCCGGCCTGTGATAAATCTTTCATTTTATTCAGAGAGAGGACGGTATGAGACTCGGCCCCTGGGAATGATGTGGATTTTTTCACCTGCCGTATAATCAGCTCTCTAGTGAGTTTGGGTCAGAAAATTCACTGTCTGACACTTCTCAACCCACATTTCTACACTAAATCAGTCCCTGAACGCCTGTTTTTTCCTGTCTTTTTTATGACAAGTTTTAACAAGAAGCCAGTGACTTCAGCAAAATCAATACATGTATGAGGCCGTATACAGGGGGGACAAAGTTTAATCAAAGATGTAACTTTGTTGACCGTTAGATGTTCACTTCAGGAGTAGTTGATCAGTTAATTATTAACTGAAGGTAACATTAACGTTAATTGGTATTGTTAAAAAAATAAATCAGCTTTTTTCAATGTCAAGACCTCGAGGTCTTAAAAGACCATGAGGGATTAGAAAACTAAAAATGACGAATGTCTGTATTCAAAATCTAAAAATAATTTGAGTGTAAAAAATGTGAGTTCTAGTGTGCTTAAGCTGAATACCGTGTTATGGTCTGCTCTGCATTTGAGACACTAAGAAACCCAGGAGAGTTGAGGCAGTCTTTTGCGACAATCACAGATGGCTTATTCCAGTACCAAAATGTTGCTAGAAAACGAGGTGGAGGACATTGTTTTGTCAAACATGGAGGACAATGAGGATGATAAGGAGGCTGCTAAAGACGGAGACTGTCTCAAGGAGCTGCATAATATTGTAGCTAAGCAGAGTTGAGCTAAGAGGAAGATGTATATACTGTATGTCATGTGCTGTGTGTGTGGCACACCCAAAAATGTGTGAGCACTTTTGTGTTGATTATGGATTTAATTGGTAAAATGGTATTTTCTAGCGACTTGAAAACCCTTGAAAACACCGACCTGTTCTTAAATGACTGAATTGTTGGCATCTGTGTTCTTATCTCCTCGTGTTCATAAGTTGAAAGCGCATGCTTGTTGTTCAAAATTAGCATAGGTAGCCGCCCACTAATGCCCTTAAAAGGGCATGAGTGCAGGGCCATGCAGACACACAAACACATGCTGGTAGCAAAAAAAAAGGTTGTGGGGATGCTCGGTGGAGCACTGGACTCCTCACAGAGAAGAAACTTTAGGAGTTCTGAAGTGCAGGTATACTGTGGAAATGTGTTAGTCAATGCTTGGTGAATGAGGCCCAATGAATCACTGCAGCACAACTAGCGTGCGTGCTGTCAGATGGAGGTTTCCTACAGTCATTGCACATTATGAGCCAGTTGTGTGCTTAAAGTTTGTCAGACCTCGGAGGGCCCCCTTCTGGCTTGTTGAAAGCAGCGCCTCTGATTCTTAGAAGACCACTGAGGGGTTTTGAGATAGCATTAAGGCCAATCTCATTTTGCCCCCTTCTGCTTTCTTTACAGACTGTTTTCCTGCCTAAAGCCATTGCTGATTGAAATGCTATTGGACTAACCTACTAATGTGATCAGAAACCAGAAAACATCTGATACCAATATCTACAATTCGTTTAGCAGAATCTGTTCAAGCGCTGAAAGATTCTGTATTTAAAATGCAGTATCCGTAAAAAAGAAATAAAGGACTTACATCAGATCTCTCTTGATTGTTGTTTGTCACTTTCTCCTGCATTTGAACTTTGCTCTCTTTTCCCAACTTTCATTTCAGTTTACAAAAACACTTGTAAAAAAATAAATCCTCCCCCAATCACATTTCCCTGATTCGCCCCCTGTTAACAAGTATACTGTGTTTCTTTTCCTTCAACGGCAACAATGCAGCTGATTTGTAGAGCAATAAATACAGCAACGCTTCCTCCTTACGGCCGACTTCCTGCACACACACTGCAAACAAGAGATTTGAACCAAGAGCCGCCTCTCTCATCAACAGCTGCCTCATTATGTCATTTTCTTTTTAAACCCCCTGCTGCTCTCAATCTACACACACCTACACGGTGGTATCCACTCAATCAACAGCCCAGGCTCATACATGGCACCAATCATGATGAAATGACTCAGTGAGTAGAGGAGAACTCACACCTTTACATGGCTTAATAGAAAGCCTACAGTGTATCATGCAAGTGCAGAAAAGGATATTGAGAAAGAATATTAATAATCCAAGCCAAGCCTTTCCTGTTATCTCTCAAGGAAACGATCAAAGAGATGCTTTCAGAGGGCAAAGCGGGAGCGAGGGTCTACTCTGTAAAACTATTCAACTGTCTTTTGTTGAAGCGACAGAATGTCTGCTGCCATCAGAGTTCCTGATCGACTGATTGACAGATTGCAGAGTACGAGGGGATCACACAGTCCAATAAGACTTCCACCACGGGGCTGAAGTGTTGAACCAAACCGCAAACATCATTTATTCATGAAGCAATTTTTGCTTGCTCTCCATCTTTTACTCAAAAGTGAAAGAACGCAGAGTAAGGGAGTGGACTCCGAGTGATGCATGCCTGATGTGTGTGCAGACTTGAAATCCAAACACACAAATAAAAACACAGCAAAATCCGCCAAAGTGGCTTTAAAGGGAAAATGCACTACAGTTTAGTGAGTGAGAGCAGAAGGGTAACAGCAAAGCCTTCTGCTGTCTAAGAGTATTTTGGAGGATTCAAAGGCAGAATGTTGTAATTTTCAAAATAAAACAGATGGTGGAAACATTTCAGTATATTAAGGGTTGCTATCTGGTAACACCTAACCACATGTCTCACTTGGCTCAATAAGTTGATTTTCCTTTTTAAAGCTCACGTTAGCCTGAAGAGATACGTTATCTTGGGAGAATGCCTCCAAAGCCATAATGACACTCTGCAGCCTCTTAGCCACCAGAGAGCCTCTAAAATAAAAACTGCATTAAAGCTTTTATTATATCTGTGTCAACAACTTAAACTTAGGGCGTGATATTTTCATTTCATCAAGGCATTCTTACATTGGAGACTCAATGAAACAATGAATTCATCAGATTGAACCTTACAAGAGAGCTATATGAATGTTTGTAGAAAAAGTACGAGTAAAGGAATCAGAATCTGTGCTGGTACAAGCATCTCCACAGGGTCAGGACAAGAGCAACACATGTTATTACATTCTTTAGGAGGTCTTAAGAGAGAAGTTCAAGGCAGTGTTAGCCCCTCACTTACATGCAAGCTGCTGCTCCAGAAGTGGACCTCAGCTTAACGCTTGCATTGTGTAGAAACTACGTCGTCTCATGTCTCATTCAGCGGTAAGTAAACACTAAACTTTATCATGATAGCCTATGTAAAAAAAAAAAACGCGGCTATTTTGCTACTCACAACGGCAAACGACAAACTCACAGTATAAACTCTGTCATCGGTGACGCGCTTTGAGGGAGGCTAGTGCACGCGAGGAGAAGAGAACGATCAGGGAGAAAGGGAGGCGTGATTGGTTCATCAGACTGGCACCTCGTGGCAGACACTGGTCGAAGTTTTTACACGCTTACAGCTGCTACAGGTGACGGATTTTCAATGAGTTATTAATTTCTGTCAGGAACTAAAGTCAATTTCAACCAAAATCTTAAAAAACTGTATCTGGAGGAAATTACCAACCCTGCCTTTACATTTGGTTCATACATTTAAAAAAACAAACTATGATTAGGGAGACTTTTAAGAGAAGTCTTTTGCAAAATAAATTGTTACTTTGACTAAATGTATTCTCTATACTTTTTTATTTATTTTGTATTGGTGCAATAGCGTGACAAACTGGTGACTGACACAACAAACAAGACAAAAAAACCCAGAAAAGATCAAATTCAACAAAAATTGTCCCAACAAGGAGTCCCGTCGAGGATTATTGTTGTGAGATTGATGTTGTGTGGCTAAATGGATGAAGGTTTACAGACTTAAGTCATGTGATGATGAGAGTTTGAGGAGAACTGAATGAATATAGAAATAAACAAACTGAATAGGAAAAAAAAACATGTAGATAATAGAAAGTGCAAATGAATGAATAATTATCATCAGCAAACAATGAAGTAGCTATCCTATACCTGGTAAACATACAGATATGCATAGAGTACAAACATAAATGGACATGAGGACATACAATATAAAGACATAACAACTGTACACACATAAATATAGACACACACACACACACATACACTCTCATTGATGTGTTTTATCTCCACTGTAATACAGTTAGGAAGTATGGACAATAATGGTTCTAGTAAATGACTTTTACGATTTATTATGGACTTAAGGGCTATGTTTTTTTTAACATGGTTTTATTTAATGGATATTTATCTCAGTGCATTTTGGCGATTTGATACACTAATATAAAATGACTGTGATATTCTCCTTTAATGGATCAATTAAGTCCAGAGCTATATGCCAGTGTCATCTGTTGTTCAATGCAGTGATTACTACTCAATATTCCACACTCTGAGATACTTTCTTCAGATTTTTATCTTTTTAATTGTTTTGTTTTCAATCTTGTTTCTACTGTAGCCTTCGTAAGATTCCCCATATGACACACACAAAAAAAAGCGTATTCTCACCTGTTCTTTATTGCTCTGGCTTTAAAAGAAAAAAAAAACGACTTCCAACATAAACCCCGAAGGAAGTTTTCTCACACACGCTGTGTCATCTAGATTCATTTTGGCGTTAGTCCAGCAGAAACTTGTCATCCACCTCAAAATACCACCAGAATAAAAGGTACCGAACACAGCCCACCTTTAAACGATCAAAAGTCACAGTAACAAGTTTCCAGGAGAGAAATAAACACTGACAAATTGTCTCAATACATCGTAATAAGCATGTTGAAAAGGTTCTGCATCGTGACAAAATCTGCGTTTGTTCAGCCTTTTTTATTTTATTTATATTATTTTTTTTTTAAGAAAACGTTTAAATCACTTACCCTCCACCAGCAGAGCTGCAAACATTCAGGTCCGCTCTCCTCTCAGGAACATCGGGCGACAAATTGGCTGTCAGCCTGCAGCATCCCATCTAACAATTTACGGCTCAGCCTCACACCTTGACCTCAGCTCAGTCGGTCAGTGTTTGGCCACCCCGGACATTCACACAAACACAAACACACACTCATTGAGTCCCAGCTGCGCAGTAATATAGTCCCCTCCTCTCTCGTGTCGGTCGGCAGTACAGCCGGGGTCAGTGGAGTCTGGCAGAAAGCAGCGGAGGAAGAGGAAGAGGAAGAGGAAGAGGAGGGGGGGGTTAGAAATATCTGGAGCAGAGAAAAATAAAGGAGTGACATTAACGCCAGTTTTTGGTTGTTTATACCTGCAAAAAAAGGCAGACCTACAAAAAAGCTGTAGCCTACTGCAATTGCGTTTTGATTTTTTTTAACCTCAGTGTAAAAGCACATCGAGCTTATATCTATAATTAAATGTGCTATAAATAAAATTGCTATTGGCTCTGAGAAATATTAGTACGCAAGGAGCAAAAGGCAGTCATAATAAGAAAATATAGCCTATCAACATTTGGGAAACTTGCTTGTACTCGATGAATATAGTCATCTAGTAGACCTACGAGCAAGTATACCTTCACTCAGTATACCATAGTAGTTTGCTAAAGGTGATAGCTAGTTTACTTGGCTTAGCACAAAGACCAGTGGGCAGTAGTTTTGTGTTTAGGCTACATAGACTATAATACTATTTACTATACTATTACTATTAATAATAAAATTTGAGATTAAAGTCATAAATTTACGAGATTAAAGTCATACATTTACGAGATTAAATCGTACGTTTACGAGATTAAACTCGTAAATTACGAGTGTAATCTCGTAAATTTACGAGTTTGAGACCAGCCTGCGCGAAAATGATGAAAGTAGAACTCTAAAGTCTTAAAAGAATAAAGTCGTTATTTTAGTCCGTATCAGAAGAGCAGCAGCATCCTGTTCTCAAATGACAAACATGGAGCATCTTGTCCTAAAGGTTTCACTAATAAGGAAATAGGCTACTTCCTTGTGTAGTCGGTAAAAACAGTTCAAGAGAAGTTTTCACTTCAACTCGCAAGACCTTGTTTATCTGTAAAATGATGTATGAACAGGACACAAACTGGCTCTGCAGATGAGACACTTTAACAAGGCAGACCTATAACAGACACAAATAGTTGTGTTGGGGCTTTTCTTATGCAGATATGAAACTACACATGCTTTTGGCACATCATCATCATCACATCGTCATAAAATATCAGGACCCTGAAAAGATACTGAAAGAAACTGTGGCTTTTCTGAAGAAAGAACCACACTGACTTGGAGGAAGTTGTCTGCAGAGGAAAATACTTTTCAGAGTTCTACTTTCATCATTTTGCGAAGGCTGGTCTCGAACTTGTTAATTTACAAGTTTAATCTTGAAATTTAATTATTTATTTTTTTAACGTGGCCCTAATCCTCCATCGTAGACTATCAAGTTTTTGTCTTGATAAATTAAACGGACTTGGGACTGATAATATGCCTGATACATTACATAACTATACATTAAAAATAAAGCAAATTCCTATAGCAACTCTAGCTCACCCAGTTAGCTAGGAATGTAGCCTATCTATCCCATTGTATCATGTTACCTATGACCTTCTCGGCATTTGAACTGCTAACCCTGAGATTTATATTAAAGTAGTCAAATAGCCCACACAAGTTCATTAGATAAGTTACTGCGCTTTAAAGGGACTGGAAGGTGGATTTAGACAGCCATGCTTTCCAATTTCCTGTCTTTGTGCTAAGCTAAGTAAGCCAGCTACAATCACTTTCATGCAGACATAATAGTTTTATAGTTTCACACTATATGGGAGAAATAGAATTGGCTGGCTAATGATGTTAGTGAATCATAATTAATTAAGCCAAGTTAAATCTTTCATTAACTGATGTAACTTCTACCTATGCTTGTATGAACTATATTGCTACTGTCATTATCTTTCTTCATTTACTTGAAGTGTCTTTGCCCTGAAGCTAATACCTGATGTGCTCTCTGAATAGTCACATTTATTTCCAATGTGTATCAATATATCAGTCAGATTCTCATAAAACACCTTCTATTAGTCATCATGCCCTTGTGCTAAGAAATTGTGCACCCACATTATTTGTCCTTGTTTTTTTGTCTCTTGTGGATGTCAGATAGAAACCTAAATCAAAACGTAACGTGTGCATTAAGTAAAGTTGTGTTTTGCACTGAATACAGTTTAGAGGTGCAGACAAAATGTGACACATGGATTAAAAAAACAATAATGCAATCACTAGTTAGAATATTTCAATAGTGAATGCTGAAATGTGCCACCCTAGTGCATTACTAATTTTTTCACTTGATTATTTTGACTATATTTAAAGCACAAAATATAGACTTAAAATTAAAGACTTGAACCCAAAATGTTTTTTTGACCACTGAGGATGAATTATTAGAGGCAACAAGGACAGAGGCAAGGAATAGGGAGGAAGAGGAGTGAAGGTCATAACTAATACCCTTTACTTTGAAGGAATGGCAAGTGATTTATTACTGCACACCAAAATATTAAGGCAACAAAATCACAGCTGCTGCATGGGCATTGAATTTGGTCCGACCATGGAAAATTATGACTGATTTATTATGAATTGTCTACATAAAGCTTCAAATGGCTCCTGTGGGACTACTGGTTATAACTTCCTTATGGTGTTCCATGTGGTTAAATTTGGGAGAGTGTTGAGGATAGCTGCTAACCCCATGGGGTCGCCTTAGGGTGGGGCGCAGCATCAAGTCCATAGAGCCACTTGAAATAGTTTGGCATACGTCTGGTCCTAGATGTAAAGTTTTGTTCACTTCATGTGGGTAATGGCAGATATAATAAGCAAAGGAATTTAATCATCATTGTCAAATACAACCAGAGGCAGAGCTGTCCACCCTTTCATAAATGTACCGAGTGCTCTCATTCGCAGGTGTGATTAACAGTTTTTTTTTTCTCCTCTCACAGATACGGGGCTTTGTCTGAGAGCATCAATGTCAAGATTTTTTTTTCTGTCCTGAAAGTGATGCTCTGATGCAATTTTCTGATCTGTGCTGTCAGTTTTTTCAATTACTGTGATGGATTACGTTTGATTGCAAAATCAAAAAAAATATATTGTGCCATCAGGAGTTGAACAAGAGGTAATGAGTCGGAGTGGCAAATCTGATTTGAAGACTTTGTGCAAGTAGAGTGTCTCAGACATCCTAATTAAACAATAATTTATAAAAAGCAATATCAATGCAGCCGTCCTTCAAGCTGGCAATACTAAGTGTTACTGACAGAAGGACCAAAGGGAAAGTAAGAAACACTGAACCAGTTAGAAATCTTTAACAACAGAGCAAAGCTTCAGGTTAGAGTGATCATCTTTTCACCCTATGACTGAAAAAATAATGTCTTGACAGAACCGAGTTCACTGTTAAAGTTAGTTTTACTTCAAGTCTATGAAAATGTTGTGTTAACTCAACATTATATGTTTATGTCACCTCAACTAATTGAACATTTTCCAACTTTGAAAATTGATTCATATTAACTTAAAAATGGCGAGCTCTAGTTTCGATTCAGAGGAGTATTTCTCTTACCTCGGTGCAGCTGGGGATGTGGATGGAGATGGAGCTGTACCTGTGCTGGGCAGTGAGTGGGAACGTGCTCTTTTGTAATCTGGAGAGAGGCTGGATTTCCCAGTTTTCTTGGTGAGTGAAGATGCCGTGCTCATGATGTCGAGTCTTTTGGAACAGTGGTCGAAAAAGTCGTCAAAACAATTCTCAAGGGGGTCCAGGTCGGTTGAAATTGCTTGGATCGAAAAACAATAATAAGAGAGACAGACAGAGGGAAACTAACAACATACAAGAGGAAGGTAGGGGCTGCTATGGGTGAACCATAACAAGTCACCATCATAATTAGTGCCCATGCTCCAGTCTCATTCAAATGGAATTCACCCAGTTTACATAAACCCATCACTATCTGGCGCAGAAAAAGCTTTCGATAGAGTGAACTGGTCCTTTCTAAGAAACACACTCCACAGATTTGGCTTTGGGGAATCATTTATCAACTGGGTCAGTACACTACAGACCTCACCAACAGCCACTGTTATCACCAATGGACAATCATCACAACCCATCACACAGAACAGGGGGACTGGGCAAGGATGCCCACTCTCCCCCTCTCTGTTCACACTCTTCATCTAACCATTAGCAAGAGCCATCTTGATAGCCAGTGCCTCCTTCTCCCCCGTCGAATACCAAACCTCTCTGGGGGACAGTTTCCGACTGATGTAGGAGACTGGATGCTTTTCATCCTGAGGTCCCTGGAGTAACACAGCTCCCAAACCCCTGTCAGAAGCATCAGTTTGCAGAAGAACATGTTTGTCAAAGTATGGGCTGTACAGAACAGGTCGCTTACTTAGTGATTGCTGGATATCACTGAAAGCTGCCACTGCCTCCTCTGTCCACTGGATCTGATTGGGACTTCGGGATCTAGTCAAGTCTGTGAGTAGAGCTGACCTTTTGGAAAAATGGGGTATGAAGCGGTGACAGAAGCCGGATAGCCCAAAACTGCTTCCTTGTTTGTGGCAGGGGACAGGACTCTATGGCCTGGGTTTTGTTGACATGAGGGCGTACAACCCCATTGCCGATGACGTGGCCCAGGTACTCTGTCTCTGCAGCAGCAAAGATGCACTTCGATGGGCTGACAGTCAGCCCGGCAGAATGAAGGCGATCCAACACAGCTTGCAGGTGTTCCAGGTGTTCCTGCCACGTGTTAAATGATAATGTCATCCAGATATGCTCCAGCAAAACCAGAGAAATCACCAAGTACCTGGTCCGTAAGTCTCTGGAAAGTTGCTGGAGCGCCGTGCAACCCAAATGGCATTACTGTGAACTGGAAAGGGCCTTTCAAGCAGTTCATCAATTCTTGGTGTTGGATAGGAATCAAAATGAAGAAATTGAATGCAGGTACCTGAAATCAATGCAGAACCTGCTTCCATCCTTCTTTGGTACGAGCATCACTGGGTGACACCACTCGATGACCCCCAAGGACAGCATCAGGTCAACCTACAACCAGGTCAAAATACATTTTTGGAAGAAAGATATGAAAGCAAATTTGATTCCACTAAACGT